ACAAATATGCTGATGATACAGCAATTTTAGGTGTTTCATGTAACACAAATCATGCAACGGAAAACAAGTTCCAATTTTTTGTTAATAATGCATATTTCTCACTGGTTCTCAGGATGGCTTATCAAAATCAACTTAGTAAAAAGCAATGTTATTATATTCGGAAAATATAATAAAATACCAGAAGACATTTTCATCAAAGTTACACAGCTTTCGGTCATCACCACAACAAAATATAGGGCTACTATTAAAAGTTTATTCATTTTCAAAATGCAATATATATTTAAAAGCAATACACGTACAAATATTAGTGACATATGAAAATAACCGCAAACTCATCAAGTTTGCTGCACTCTCCACAAACCTACTATGTGCTTCCCCTGGGTCATACGACACAGATCCAGGCGGTAGTTGAACTATTTCCGCAAATACTGTAGCGTCATCCTATCAATGGTTATCACTACAGCACTGATCTGTTCCCTGAACTCTTCTGATGTTTTTGGTAGAGGGGTACATAAACAAGATCCTTAATGTACCCCTAAAGAAAGAAGTCACTAATCGTTAAATCAGGCGACCTAGAAGCCAAGAGAAAAAAGCGAGGTCATCCTCACCAACCCCATAATCCAGCGATATGGAAGTTTATCGTTCAGATATCGACGAACTAGAATGTTCCAATGAAGTGGGTTCCCGTCCAGTTGGAAGACAAAATTTCTGGAATCGGCAGCCAGTTGTGAAAACAATCACAGCTGCAACATATTCCAGGTATCTTGCACCAGTCACAATCTTCTCACAGAAGTAAAACGATGAGTTTGCTGTCATTTTCAAATATCACTCATATTTGTACGTGTAGTGTTTTTGAATGCATAACGCTTTGAAATTAAATGACTCTTTTATACTACTTAGGAGTAATTTCGCCCCGGGGGTTGACGCAGAGGACTCTGTGAAGTTTCTAGCTAGGATATATATCTAAGCATTCTTTTCCCACTGGGGTATAAAATCACGAGCTTGGAGGTTCCAGAACTCCAAAGGAAGAGAATTTCGTATGGTTAGATTGAGGGGGGGTGGATTGGCGAAGACTACTGCCCTGTGAGGAGAGAAGTAAGGACTCTGCACTCTGCCAGGCGGCTGGCCCACCGGTGAAAGTGGTGGCCCTCTGTTTAGGAGAGAGGTAAGAACTCTGTACTCCGCTTGGTGTGGTTGGTGCACGGGAATAACGGTCCAAGCCTGCGTAGTACTGGGGGGGCATCTAAATGGCCAGTCAGATCTCCAAACTTGCATGTTCCCCGCTGCTGTGAAAGCTGGGAACCGACAGTGGTGACCCCGCGCGCCTAGGAGGTAGCAGTGGTTAAGTGAATTTTCAAACTCTGCCACCTTGGGTTGGTACCCCGTGTTGGTAGCAAAAGGTGAGCAATAATTCTTTAGAGAACAATGACTGGTGACCCTCCACTTGCCTAATATAGGGGGTCTCTCAATTGGGTCAAGTCCGTGTAGAGTCTAATGACGGAGCACATAGATTAAGTATTATTATTAGGAGTAATTTTAAGCTGCAAACTTACTTTTAGGAAGCACATTGAATACTCCTCACTAAAGCTAGTTCCACTTATATCTCCTTATAGAGCCTGCTTGACAGAACTCAAAACTCAGCGTCGAAAGAAAGAAAACTTCTCTCCATCTCTTTGATAAGGCCATTGTTACTTATGCCATACCAGCTTCGGCCATCGCTTTCAAAACACAATGGAAAAATTTATATCGTTTCCAGAACAAGCTGCAAAGAAACATGGTCATTGCGCCAAGGTTTGTGCTTAACAGCATTATTTTAAATGATCTGAATATAATTCACTTGAATGGCTATATTTTTAACATCTTGCCATAACGTCTTTAGTAAGGCTTCAACCTCAGAGTTTAATGCAATTGCTTTCAACCACGGGATGTGATCCTACAGTGTTAAACAATTTTAAAAGTCAAAGTACAATGTCTCATGTTCCCAAGTGGTGAAGATCAAGCAATCAAGTGCAAAAGCAATCAAGTGATTATTTTTAGTACGTTTTTTAAAGTTTTCATATATTTTAACATTTCTTTGCGTCAGAACATATAGGGAATAGGACTGATTCTTAATAGTTATTTAGACATGCATCACTAAGTTAGTGTCTAGTGTACATCTGTTGACGATTATAGTCGGATTAGGACTTTATTTACTTCCAAGGATTGTGTATAACCATTTACCGCTTTCCCAACTTGACAATATATTTTTGCACAAGTAGTGCAGCCCTAGGCGCATTATTTTATATTTCCGACCAACTTTCTGACAGAATATATTCAGAAATTCAGGTAGAAACCTGCAGGTGGTTATAGACCTAAAGAAGTTCCAAGTTAAAAGTCAAAATTACACACGGCAACAGCAGCAGCGACAAGTGGCTCTCCGTAGGAACTTCCTCAGCCATTTCTAGATTCCTCGGCCATTCTTGAGCTGATGGCCCATTCCTAAATATCCGACACGATCCTGAGCTGATGATCTGTTGTTGATCTCGCGGCTTTCTGAGGGCCGGCAGTTGTCCTAAAGGAGACTAACCAGATGTTTAAGCAGAGAATTTTTTTCATTCGTGTAGCACTGATGGTATGATCGCTATATTACGATCTTTTTATTTAATCACAAGACGTCATAATTTAATTGTTTCGGCTGTGCTAGTTTTTTTATTACTTTGATAAATCACAATAAATCCTGGTTCAGTTGTTAGCAATGTGTTTTATCTAACACACTATCTGTTTAAAATGAAGTCATATTGGGGGGGAGCGGCAGGTTGTTTCCTGCCACCACACTATATGACAAAAGAACAAAAAACAAAAAAAGGGGGGGAATAAAAAAAAGCACTGTCCTTTACTCTGAGAAGCTCCAAATTAGCAGGAAGAAGTCTTGACAATCCATTCTCCAATGCCAGTTTTCTCCAGTTTCGGGAAATTTCCTCATTCCAACAAGATCATATAATTTTTTAATTATGTTGTAAATTACGTACATAAATTTGGGAGTATTAGTAATCTGTATTATAAAAAATACTATTAAATTTTAACTGCAAATTAATATGGTTTTCTTTAATCAATGAAAATTAATTATCCGGTACATCACTCCCTACATTGGTCATCAACTAGCTCAGTCCGCATTCCAGTTACGCAGTAGGCGCAAACGAGCTAGCTCGCATTGCAAATTTGCGACTTATTGGTATCGCGCATATTTGGTAAGAAAGAATTGCTTATTCTCTCAACCGCCGAAGGGTTAACATTGCATCTATGAAAATATTCGTCCTGACATGCCTGAATACTTGAGAAATGAATGACAACATTAATTTCGGGGCATTACTGTGTACATAAGAAAATAGTATATAAAATACACACATGAAAATTATATAAGTAGCTATTATTAGTTATTTCCATCTGAAACATAGTTGTATGAAGAACTTAAGTTACGAAATAATAATAAAATTTCCAGTCTGTTTTTTGTATTTAGATTTCAATTTGCAGATAGATCTCAACAGTACAGCAAGGTTGGAGTTACCATTTATATATTATTGACAATTAGCAACTTAAACCTGTAATGTTTCAAAGACTAAAGAAAACATGACACAACACCATTTGATGGTGATGAGTAAACTGAGCCATACCATAAGAGTTTATTACCGAGCTCTGAAAAATATAGTTGCTATCATAATGTTCCCAATATTATTAATAAAGGTATATTTTCCCCTTAATCTGCGGAGCTATGTTTTGTAGACTGACAACAGTCAGTTGAGAAGATAAATGTAGGTTAACTGTGCAACAACATTTCATTTTTTACCGGAAAGCAAAGGTTTTCCAATGTGAAAAACTAGCGCTTCTTTTCAAGCATTAAAAAGACAGAATAAAAGTAAATAAATGACATGTAAATACCAGTGTAACAATTATGTACATGAAGTGATGTTAGCACGAAATAATACAATATTTTGTTATTCATTTACTTCACTGTTTTCATTGCTATAAATTATATTTCTTCAAATACCCATTCAAGATATTAGCATGTTGTTAATTATAATTCTTGATTTGGTTATGATACAAAGAATATATATTTTGTATACCAACTTCAATTAATAGAAAAATGTAGTGTTTATTGCCTTAGAAACTTCCCACTATCTAAATATTTATAATTTGTCTTTAGTTAGTTTAAAAATTTTCTTTAAACGAAAATTTGCTTCTCATTTTCAGTGTAAAATTCGATATTTGAGTTTTAAAGTTTAGTTTTAATCAGAAATGAACTCGTTGAATCAGTGCTTCTTTCTCTGTTCAGGATTTTGGTTGTTCCATATTTCATATGTATATAACATATGTGCAAATACTAATAACAATTAATGTGTGTTTTATTGAGTGAGTAACAGGTTTTCTGCGGGAATATTTTTATAGTCTTAAACACAGTCTAAAATTTTAAAGCACTTTGTTTAAAATGTTCTCACTATTTTTTCATCTCATTAACATTAATAAAAATTTACATTTAAAAATGATCGTGAAGTTATTTTTGCGCTTTATAAGTAGAAGTAATAACCAGAGCAGGAATTTCCATTAAAAGTTAGGAAAATTAAAAACCAAATACCTCCATTTTTAATCCGTTCTTCTTTCGGTTTGATTATAAAGAAAATGTTCACCGTAGAACAATATACTCTAACAACAAGTTTCTTCTTCTCTAGAAATCGAAGAATGAAACAATGAAATTGGCAAAATCGTTTTGAACTTTGGCAAGATCTGTATCAGAATCTCTCGAAAAGTATAAAGTATTTCTCTAAGAGTAGCAACATTTTTGAGTAATTTCAAATTTGGCATGCTTCTGTTACACCTCTTAGTAATCTAACCGCTTCAGTATACCAGAATTTTCCTGTGCTTTCCATTGCTAAGCGTTTTAATCGTTAAGCAATTTCATGACAATTCGGCCAAACATAAAATGATATAAATCAAAAGAGAAGAAATTTTATGTAGGGATTACTTACCGATTAGATGCAATACTTCAAGACCGTTTATAAAATTGTAGATTTTCCGCATGAACCCTTCCATAAAGATGACTTCAGAAAGACATATACACATTGTTCTTAGTCTACTAGGAAAAGTCTGAAGGTCACTGAAGTCATGCAATTGCATAGCGGTAGAGAAATCCAGCAGCATGTGGGTTAGGGATGTACATTTATAAGCTAGCTCCTGGAGGACTGTGTGCGTGATCAGTTCAATAGGAAGCTCTATGTATCGTAATGATGGACCTGTGAAATAATTTATGAAAAATAAATTTCTGCAATTAAGCTGGGATTTCGGCTACATTTAATTAATAAAGAATAAGTGGTTACAAATGTAACAGTGCTTTGAAGTTGCATTAAATGTGATCACATCACTGTTGAATCAGATTAGGTAAGCATCAAATTATGCGAGTTTCATGGTTAAAACAAATATCTGAAAATGGGACGTCACTTTTGTTTCATTTTACAATAAAGGGTGATTAAATTTTCAGAGTTTTATCTGAAATATTACTATTTTCCCCGGGCGTAATGTGTTTGTTATGCCTTCTTCTTGTGTTAATTTGGAAAATATCTTAAAATACTTTTTTCATAGCTTTCACTTTAGATTAAAAAGAAAGCTAACGAAATTAGATTATTACTTTTCAAGAAAGATTTATTCTTAATGCATCATTTCTAAAAAATTTAAAGATATAAACATAAAACTAATATTACGTTTTGCGCAAAAGATGTTTACACGCAAGTGAACATTAACAGCCGATGCCTACGTTTATGGCGTTCAAGAACCTGCGAGTTGACACTGTTATCGAGTGAATCTCTTGTTCTCTAATTTTGGCGTGTTTCTTAAATGGCAATCGCATTTGTACACAGCATAACCTGCTGAGTATCTTTTCCAGGTTAACCTAACTTATAAGAAAATACGCTTTTTTTTCTCGCTTCTGATGATAAAAACTCGTTAGTTACACTCATTTAATTTTCCGTCATTAGAAGGATTATTTATGAGAAACAAAATTGTTTCTATAAGCTGTCAATATTATACTGAATTACAAAAGTGAATCAATCAGAGAGAGAATCAGAGTTTCTGATTTACGCGCGTCTGCCTTTTGGCTACTCTCTCTCTCAAAGCTGTTATTACGCTGGGCCGTACTTAGGCCCTTGATAAGCTTCGTAGTCAACTAGAGTTAAGGGGCCAACTCGATTAGAATCTTGATAGCTTCGGCTATATTTCTTTAGTTAATCTTAGTTTTAGTTTAATTTTTAGTCTCTTAAGTTCAAGCCCAAGTGTCGGCTTTGATTATACACTCCAAGACTTCGATTGGACATTCCAAGACTTCGATTGGACATTCCAAGATTTTGTTAAATCCTATTGGAATAATAAAGGGTTACTAGTTACCCTTCCATCTTGTTGTTTCTTATCACACGAGCTTAAGCGATTATTCGCTAACTAGTTCTTAAGATTCGTCATTTTCTACAGTAACTGAGAATTACACAAGTGAGAATCTTACAGAGTGGCGATATTACTATTGCTTTTCTCTATCACAAGCAGCAGGATAAGCTATGTCTCACTTTGTACTTTGATCCCTTTTCTTCCAATATACATCTTAACCGAAATAGGATACATTAAAAGCTGGCAGAAATTTTCATGTGTAATGATTACGAAAGCCACCGTAACTTTGATAGTCGGAAAATGAGGCAGGAAAAACTTTTCATCGGAAGGAATAAGTCACTAGAAATTACCGTTCTTTTTATTTTTTTTTTCCGGAAATGGAAAAGAATCACTACTCCGTATTTTGTAAAATAATTTTGTCAAATGCAGATATAACAAAAAATGCTTCCAAAACTGATCATATAATTACCATAGTTTATGCAGACTCCTTCCTCCAACCAAATTTCGATGTTACTTGATTTTTATTAACGTGAGCGCAAGCGTTTCAGCTAAATAACAAAACTATTTTAATAATTTAATTATTGAAGTTGATTATTGAAGTTTCGATCTTTAAATTCTTGAGATGCAGTACTGTAAAAAACGGTATGATGCACGAAAATAAAAGCTGTGCTAAAAATACAGGTAAATGGGAAGTTTTAGTCTTTAGAAACTTAAAACCTATTACAAGAAATTTTTAAAAACATAATTGGATAGATATGTACAAAATGTGTAAAGAATCTAAAAATCTGACCAGATAATCAATCCAATCTTCTAATTTTCTCTAATCTGATCTTTCGAAGAGTTAAGACGTCATCACCAGACTAATAAATGGATGATCGTGAGACAGCACAAATTATAGATGTTGACATATTAAAGATTTTACGAGTGGATTTTTATCTCGCTAAATTCATACGCAAATAATAAGCATCTGTACTTTTCCCGCGCAAAATAACAGCATCAAGGTTAAGGAAAGAGAACATACTCGAATAAATATATATATATATATTTTCCAATGGCAGATTGTGAACAATTATTAATATAACCCAGTCCATTAATCTTTACAAGGCCGGATGTATTGGTCTCTTTATTATGGAGGCACCTAATAGGTGGGCCACCATCACCTTTCCTATGAAAGGACGGACAGTTACAACCATGGCTTCTTCGGGATTCGAACCCAGGCCCTTCGGCATCGCAGTCAGCTTCCCTGACCACTATACTGACTGGGCCGCAACTCGAATAAATATTGCATTAAAAATAATTGCTTGAAATAAAAAAAGAAGTCAACCGCAATTTAAATATACCTAGAAATTATCATAGTTTTTAAAAATAGAATGGTAAAGCATTTTAAAAATACCTAAATATTCATTCATCTGATATTTTCACAGGAAATGAAATACCCTGAGTTGTAGGCGGTTATGCATTCTAATATGATTGAATATTATAACTCATCTTAACATGTAAATAAATATTAACAACAGAAACTGTGACATTGGGCTTGATAATTATAAACCAGTTTTGGCCTTCAGTAGGATTGGATTGCTTAGGTATGAAGAAAGACGAGATAGTTATCTGATTAAAAAACTTATCTGACTAAAAAGAGTATTCTCTATTATGTTCTGTTTTCAGTCAGATAGGTTTGCTTAGTCAGATAAGTTCTGAAGTGTCCTTATACTTCTTGTGGGGAAAAACATCTTAACCCTCAAGCTGTCTGTCCGTTCATTTGGCGGGAGTCGCAGCCGAAATACGCGACCAGTAATTGAGATTTTACAGTCGGCCACTGATGGAAGTTGGTTTTAATTAATGAACGTTTTATTAATTTGCCTAATCTACAATGCTAAAAATAATTTTAAGCAAATCTCAGGCAATATGATTTATAGGAGGGCGATAGTAGTTAAGTTAGGTTTTTAATTGGGGGGGAAGGAAAAATAGAAGGCTCTCTGACTCATGAGAGGTGTCTTCCTAAGACTCGTTAGAGAAAATTGATTCGTATTTACATTACTTGGGGAAATGGCGGGAACAAAACGACGTTCCAAAAATTTTAGGCCATGTTTTGTATGAAGTATTTTGGTTAAACTTTGTTTATTCCTAACTGAGATTCAGGTACTGGTCGTAAACGCAGTCAGGTTTTCCCAGGAGTCGAACCTTTAAAAAGCACTTGTTCAGAGGTTTTGATGAGTCGTTCATTGATGGATGCAGGAGATAGATAAAGATAACATTTAAACGAAATCTGAATATTTGGTTTAACATTCTTTCCTATGTCAGTAATCTGTCGAGAAGGACACGTAACAGTTTAGTTGAGATGATATTAAGAAGCAGAAAACTTCGAATGCTGTTATCGAGTATTTTGATGTCAGGGGCTTTAATTGTTTCTTCTTTAATACAACGTCTTGTAATATTCCTATTTAGGCCTAAGTTTATTCTGATTTTAAATCATTTAAACGTACATACACAGATCATACAATGCGCTAGACACTGAAATCATGTTACGAAAATTAACAGAGTTTAAAAGCTGTTCATTAGTAACTCAAAATGAATTTTTCTACTGAATCAAAATTTAGCAATTTATATTTGTTGCAAAATTGTTAGTGAAAATAGTAGAAAACAAATGTTATATATTAATCGGTGGAAAAAATGCGGTGGTTACTGTTGTCAGTTTTGCGTGTCTTCTCTTATATACTAAGATAGGGACATCTTAATGCAGCGGTTCTCAACGTTTTGACTAACGCGTGCCATCTAAACAAAAACTAAAAACCTTTAGTACTACCACTACATTTTAAAATGATTATTTTTTCATTTCTAAATAGAAATATCAAAAAAAAAAAAAAAAAAAAAAAAAAAAAAAAAAAAAAAAAAAAAAAAAAAATTTTGCCATTTGTACAAACTACTGGCTATTTGTATTAAGTATGCACTCATAAAAATAGATTAAAAATTGGTTACCATTTAATTATCAAAATATAAGTTATAATACTAAAATTTATTGTCAAATCTGGGCCTTTTTAAGAGAGATAAATTTCTTTATGTCTGGTCTTATTTCACTTAAATTTAACCGTAAGTTAGAATCAACTTTTAATTTTGTTCTGTATTTATTTTCAAATATAACGTGGAAGAAAATCTTTGTTCATACAAATAGTTTGCCCAAAAGGCAAAAAAAATGTAATAGCTTTATTTGAAATGCCTTTTTTTTTCGGTTCACCCAAAAGTTAACAAGTGTGTTATTTTCGAAATCTTCAGTTAGAGTTCGATCACAGGAAATTTCTATAACTTGTTCGTTTTCTTCACGAGATAAAATTTCAGGTACATATGAATCTTTATTTGAGAAATAACACGGGAATGTTTCCCTGTTAAACCGCGAGCTCTGTGACTGCATACAGCAATGCACTTATTCGAAGGCATATCATTCTCAGACATAAGATTGTCAATTACTTTAAAATTTCATTTGCAGTTGCTCTATCATGAAGAGATTTACAAAATAAATACTCTTCGGCATTCGTTTATCTTCTTTGAAACGTTTCTAAGCTAATAATTGAACAAAGCGCGTTATATCAGTACTTTCATCCATTTGCAATGCGAAATACTCACTGCGTTTTATTTTTTGAATAAGTGTCTCTTTTATGGAATTTGATATTGTATGAATTCATTGACTTATTGTATTATTCGATAATGGAAATATTATTAAGTTCATTAGCAGCTTTTTTTTAAAATAATGTTAAAACGACATCTTTAGCTGCTGGAAACAAGGTTCGCCGATAGTGTGATCCTACCCAGTCCTGGCAATTCTTCGGCTAACTGGGTCACTAGCTTCTAAAGCTTTTCCACTTAAAGT